AACCACATATCGTCAGTGAAACATGATAACCTGCTAACTCCATTTTTGATTTTAAGCAAATAATACGTTTAATACATCATTTTTACGTACATTTCTTAACGAAATGTTCAGTTTTATTGTTCCCTTGCTATTTTCAAAATCGACATTAGTTTATGGAATTTATTTAAATTTATAACAGGATACTTTTATTTAATTTACCTTCAATAATGTTTAATAAGTAAATATTTATTATTTTATCAAGAAAAATTAAGCAGTAGGTAGGTATCTGTTGGCGATGGCGGAAGATATGTTACTAGTGATTTTATTTTGCGAAGAAAATTGCTTGTTGGCCTGAAGGGTTTATGCCCAAAGATATCCAAATAGAAATTCTCTTGACAAGCGTTCATTTGAAAAACTACTTTTCCTATATCGCAGGGCTGATAGTGCGGTATATGAAAAAACTATTAGGCAGAAACCTGTCATGAAGAAAATGAATTTGCCTTAATTGTTTCTTTTATAAAAAATCCAATATATCTTCAAGTCATCGTAATATAAATAAAGAACTACTTCTTCGTTTTTCTTGATAAAATAATAAATACGTACTTGAACTATTGTAGGTAAATTAAATATAATTAAACTGTTATAAATTTAAATAAAGTCCATAAACTAATGTCGAATTTGAAAAAACATTTTATTCAAAAAATTTTATTCAAAATCTGTCATGTAGGAAACCCTAATATAGTTTGAAATAGAATTTAAATCTGCTTCGACTTGTTTTAAAATATACATAGTGTTGATTTTGAAATAACGAAGTTTTTGTGTAAAATAAATATTTAAAATAAACCAGTAATTTTTGATACCCCTGTATACATTTTAGGAAGCAATCAAATTTTTTAGTAAAGATTATTTCTCTGGCTTAAACGCCAGCACAAGAATTAATTCTGAAAAGTAATATACAGGGTGTTGACAAACATTTTTTTATAGCATGCATATTTAAATATATTTAAATACCTCAAAAACCAAATCTTTTAAACATATTAAACCTTTATAATAAATGCCTTATTTTATGTCAAAGAAGCCAAAAATGAAATAAAACACCGGGTGTTCCATAAGAAAAAATATAACTTTGGTATGTATCTTAGTTCTGACACACCCTGTACATTTGAAAATAATTTTAAATTATGTACATTGACTTCCCACATATACCCATAATTTTTTTTTCTACATCTTTCCGTTTTCGTATAATCAACCGAGGCGAATAAGGTGCACCACCCTGTATATTCGTTGTAAAAAAGTCATCTATATTCGTTGTATTTTGTATTTTTTATGTTTATATTTTTTTGCTATTTTATATCTTTATGTTTTTTTGTATTTTTTGGGATTTTTTTTATACTGAGTTTGGACACGAGTAAATAAATCTCTATCCTGGTGAAATATTTAATGAATTTCAAGAGTAAACTCCACAACGGAAGCCACATTATTTTGTATGCTCGCCAATTAGCACGTTCCCAAATTACTTAACTCACACATTGATTTTTAAACAAAAAAACGAATGACGACCTCACCCAATTCTAACCCCCGTTTACTAACGAGTATCACATCGGGTCTTGTTTGCGCTCCCGTCTCCGCAATAATTCGAAACCAAACAAGCGCTGAATCCTCGGCGCCCTACGGCAAACACCACACTTAGCTACTGCCGTTCGGCCAGATTGAAAAGTCAAATATTTTTCGAAAAAACGATAATTATTGACCCTTACGAGGGTCTCGACGTTGTGAGATGGTTAGCGCCCCCGCGATAATTCTGGGACAATGTGGTGGCGCCTAGGGACGGGTGACAACCACTCGACAATTATTTTCTTAAATATCAAAGTGTACTATATATCAAACTGATATGCAAAACTGATATCTTGTAAAAATATAAATAATAAATAGTCGAGTCCAATTTCACAAAAAGTAAAATGAAAATACTAATTTTCTTCTTAAAAAGTACCATTTTTTAAGCTTTTCAGCGATATAAGCTATAATATGTTTTCTTCGAAAAATTACTGAATTATAGCCAACTCTTATAATTTTTAAACAATTTCACTTAGTCAGCCATGGAAACTAGTTTAATCGTCGTTGCTCTCAGAAATGTGAAGCTGTCACATCCAAACTTTGTAACTTAAATTAAACAAAAATTGTAAATATGAATTTTTCAAATGAAGAAAAGGCCATACATTTTCGAGGATATGTTGACCGGTAAATGTTACGTTTTTTAGAGAACGGTTTTCAAGACATATTAGAAGAGTTAAATTTAGTTATAGCCAATTCTTATCTTTCTTGACTAATTTCACTTAGATTGCATGGTATTCTTATTTTGTTATGATTTATAATATAATAATAGCTCCCGTATATAGCGTTTGACGCCTTTGGAGTAGCAAGGTACAGCTTGTCATACTATAACCGTTCGGTATACAAGGAAGGTAATGTGGCTAGCACTACGCTTCAACTGCCTATTTTTACCTCAGGATTGTGAATCCCAAGTACTCATTTTTTTTTGTTATGATTTATAACTTATACAAAGTCAGAATGTATTATTAAACGGTTCTTTACACTTTACATTACACAAACTAAGACTTAAAAAAATAATATCACTACATACACTTTAAGTTACTTTAGAAAATGTTCAAAAAATCCGCCATTGTTTTGAGTTGCATCTATTTAAAACTGAATTACTACCTATTCTCACAGAAGGACCGGTCGACTTAATTAAACTTCTCTCGTACCGCCACTTCGAGTGCCTCTCTTATTTCATAAGTTTTTTTTGTAAACCTTATTGTTAACCATACCGTATAAAAAAATCGTAAAATGGATAGGTTAGGTGATCGAGGAGGCCCATGCAATTGGTCCACCTCTTCCTATCCCTGAGTTTACATAATTATGATATAAATAATTTTTAACATTTCTTTCATAATTGGGGGAGGGTCATGTTGGAACCACGCTATTGATGCGCGAGTATCTACATGCTTTTCTTCACTTGAAAAATTTATATTTACAATTTTTGTTTATTTTAATTTACAAAGTTTGGATGTGACAGCTTCACATTTCTGAGAGCAACGGCGATTGAACTTGTTTCCATGGCTAACTAAGTGAAATTGTTTAAAAATTATAAGAATTGGCTATAACTCAGTAATTTTTCGAAAAAACATATTTTAGCTTATATCGCTAAAAAGCTTAAAAAATGGCGCTTTTTATGAATGGCTTTTTATAAATGGCAAACTATGGTTTCCATTTTAAAAAATTACAGACTTTAGAAAAAAGTGGAGGATACAATCTCATTAAGGATGTGATTATCTAAAACTTTTATCTGAAAACTTTTTGTCTAAAATAGCTTAATAATGGAATATGGGGACAATATAGGGACAATTTTTAATATAGCCAAAATTTGTTTTTTTCGAAATATCTAGTAAGCCATGAACTTTTTCAAAAATCTGAAAGGCGCATATTTATGACCCCACAAAACTGCAATTCTTTCCCCATTTAACCAAGTCTCTATCTCCAGTAGTTTTCGAGATACCCATAGAGAACATCGTAGGAAACTCACCCTGTATATCAATATAACATAAAACGAAACGTAATTAACTAAATATCATCGTAACAACAGCTATTTTAGAAACGTCTAGGTTTACTTATTTCACTGAGATTTATGAAAAAAAAATCCTTTGCCTCGCATACAGATACCGCCACGTTTTGGAAATAGCTCAAAATAAAACAAAATTGAACAAAAAAATTGGCAACAAAAAACGCAAAAAAAAATCCCCCACACCCTTCTCACGAGTAGTTTTCAGGGGCTTTTAGGAATCGAAAGTAGGTCGAGGCAAACCGAAGTGGGTCAAGACTACTGGAAATAAATCGAAATGCGTCAAAGTTGGGCGACGAAATGCGACGTTGACATGTTTCGGAAGAGTTTTCCGCATAGTGTAGACGCTGTTTAACATTTGCTAAAACGGTTTTTGCTTATTATATCGAAACCACGTTTGTGGGATAAGACAACTTGGGGAGTTTTGCAACTTGACGCCTCAATTTTTTTCTTCATTTCTAACCAGTAACAGCCAATTCTCGTGATAGAAACATCGTCATGTCATTATTGTTTACTGACGTTTACTCTAGTAGAGATGGTTTTAAGTTCTGAAGTAGCGGCTATTGCTGCTTTAATAAAATTGATCATGGCAAAGATCAACTTTTGGACTTAAACTCATATCTGCTAGAGTAACTGCCTAACAGACAATAATATAATATTATATTTCAAAAACAGCGACATTACATAAATCATAAACATTATTTTATAGATTTTTTGACTAGGATCAAAAGAACAAGGGCATTGTTTTAATGTAAAAATACGAAAGAATGTGAGTGTCTTCTTCAAAAGCGAATATCTCAAAAAAAAATAAAGCTATTGAGATGAATCAAAAAACATACTATTGAGGAAAGATACACCTAGGTGGTAGAGGTTTTTAAATTCCTTGCTTTGTTAACGTACTCCACAGGGTGTTCCCTTTAACTTTCACCAAAATATCAACATTTTCTTTCCAATCCTATAATTGACAGATAGCAAGTTTCGTTTTGAATTTAGTAAGAGATACTTAAACTGAAATAATTCATAAAAATCGTCCCACTGGAACAAAATATAATAAACTTTAAAATACATCATAATTATAAGGTGCCCGTTTTTTGTGCCGGTGAGTGTATTATATGGAAGTATTATATCTGATTAAAACTAAACAGAGGTTAAAACGGACATTCTGTAAAAAAATAAAGGCTCTAAATCTATAGAAATAAGAAATAGAATAAAAAACCAAACTTTAACATTTTCTAAAAATAAATACAGCAATGCTATTATACAACGCATCTGACTCCCCTTCCAAACATACAAAGGAATATTCTTAAACATGCAACTTTTCATACGTATATAGAATCGTATCCGGCCTTTTAAGAGGCAAAAGGACTTATTTCGAAAATTTCCATTTCTTTCCATTTTCCAGGCTCCGAATGGAAGCTGCTCACCGAGGACGAGAAAAGGCCCTTTATCGACGAGGCGAAACGACTGAGAGCTCTGCACATGAAAGAGCATCCAGACTACAAATACCGGCCGCGGAGAAAGCCCAAAACCCTGAGGAAGGAAGGCTACCCCTACTCCATACCTTATCCATCTGTGCCGATGGATGCTCTTAGAGCGGGTGAGCATTATTATTTGTATAATAATTATTATACTCAGCACTATTATATATATAATTAGTTGTAAAAATGTATTTAGTAAATGTATATGTTAAAATGTATTCAGTAAGCATACACATAACACTCGTTATAGCCAAGGGTGTCCGCAGGCTGAAATCCAGGGGGGCATATATGTATGAAAAATTAACTAATAATTTAAAGACGATTTAGTTGAAACATATGTACGTAAGTACATAAACAGACGGATAGTATCGACTGACTAGTGAGAAAGAAAAATCTAGGAACTAGTGGGGTTCCAGTCGGAAGGGTTTGGACTAGAATTAATATACTTTGTTAATAGCTTTCGGAATTTATTTATTCAATCCTCAGGACACTGAAATGGAAATACGTGTTACAGAAAAAAGGCTATAAAAGTCAAGTAGAAAGAACTTACTCAACGTGAAAACTAGTATGAGAGTTTTATAAGAAACCCTCAGACCCCACTAGTTCCTAGTTCCTAGATTCTAGAAGTACATCGATATATGATGAACAAGATTTGCGAATATATCTTTACCTAAATAACTAAATAATAAATATTAGATAAACCTATTTGGCCCAAATGAGTTTATCTAATATTTGGGCTAACTGAAATTTACACACTAACAAATACCTATATACCGTAATAATTTTTTAACAAAAAAGTACTATTTACTCTACTTCAGAATTCTTTTTAAAAAGTAGCTGCAATCTTCTAGGATTTAATGCAAATCTGTTGACTACTCCTTCGATAAGTTTTGATTTTTTTTAAAGAAACTTTGGCTCTATGGATGCTCAAAAGGCATATAGCACTAAGTCGATTTTCAGACATAAATCTGAGCCAGGCCTTTACCCTTCGCAAGGTGCTGAAAGACCAAAGTGCTGAAAGACCTCAATCGAGCATGTGGTGGCTGGAAGACTGAGACCTATTTTTATTGCTGTAGAATTTTTTGAAAAAAAAAGTGGTTTCTTCGAACAAATCGAAATAGCTTATGGTGCTATATCATAAGTTTCACTTTTAATTCTGTCCTTCCAAATCTCGAACCAAGTTTCGCCTTCTTGCTTTAAGTTTCCAATGTTGTACGTTTTTATGTATTCGAGAGAGCTGTCAAAATGAGCTTATATTATTAAGTTTTTTCATATTAGTGGGATGCAGAAAGAAAATACAACATTTTCGTCTGAAAACTGGTATTCAGCGACGAAATAATAGAGTCTAAGTTTGGAATATACAAAGATCGACAGTAGTAGGTACTTCTCTGCGGAGTTATATAAGATAATAATTTTAACTATTTTAATACCAGTACCAGATTTCAGGGTGGGGCAAGTGCCCCCTCTTGCCCCCTTGCGGACGCCCTTGTTATAGCTACGAGTATTAAACTCTGTTTCAGTATTTTGAAACGTTTGATAAATATACACACACTACTGAATCCATTGAGTAAGATTCATAAAATAGTCGTGTCTTGATTTGTATAAAAGAAAAAAAATATATTAATGTGCGAAAAAAAAAATGTATTTAAAACTTCTTAATCCGTAATCCGTAATCCGTAATCATAAAATATGTAAACAATGATTCAGTATTGAAAATAAAAAAAAATTCGGACATCCGTAGTCTTTATTTATTTTGATTAACACTACGTTTCGATCAGAAGAATTACTGACCGTAACGTTTAATTATTTTTGTGTTTTATCTGATACAAATTGATAACTAGTTGTTAAAGTTAAACTAATTTGACATCTGTGTTGAATTAACGTCAGACATATCACAGCCATCTAGATTTTACCAAATAATAAAGATCGACTGTCACTAAATCATAAAAATGAAACTATCTAGGAAAATTTTTATTTGTGATGAAGGCAACCCTCATGGTATTTTGAAGAGACATTAATTCTCTATTGAATATCAGAATAATATACTAGGTGTTCCATTTAAAATAAAAGAGTAACTTGCTTTTAAATGTGACCAATGTTCAATATTAATTTTTTCTCACCCTGTATAATTTTTTGGGTCAAGTTTTAATTTCGTTTAGAATACAATGGTTATTTTAACTACATATTAGGCTATAACGGGTAAATTCCAATTTAGGTAGCTTTTATTGAAAAATATGTCAAAAGAAAGTGTTAAATATGTCAAAAATCTTACATTTTACCCATATACTTCTCTAATGAAACTCGCCTTTATTTTTCTCCTCGAATCAGAAAATCAATTGATATATAGGGTGTTCCATTACAAAAAAAACACAACTTTAATGTGTACCTTATTTTGGGACACCCTGTAGAACTTAATCGTAATTTTAAAAAATGCTCTAAACTAATCCACATGTGTTCACAAAATTTTATTTTAATACAAACTGTCTTCTCCTTGGAGCTTCCGCGTCGCATGAGAGGCAGAGGCGCCACACGGTGGGGTATTAGCATGAAAAAGGTGATCGAAATTCGAAAAAGCAAATGTGTTTAAGATTTCCCAAAAAAAGATAAATGATAAGTTAAATCATCTCTGCCATGAATGGCGTTGCTATGGGTGTGTTTAGTTGCATTCATTTGTTTCAACGAAACGTCAAAATTGTTACTTATCACAGATAAGAGGTAAATGGCTAAATTTTATGTTAAAAATTATAAATTGTTGTTGTTCTTGTGCTCTTTTTACGTTTATATTATCGTTTTGATTGAAAATGGCTCAGCAAGCTGCAGGTATGTATTCTACAAAAACGAATTATTTATTTTGATATTCTCTATACTAACGATTTTTTTTGCAACTAAATGTTAGGCGTTCAGAAAATTTGATTAAATTTGTGACATTTTTATTATACTTAGAGATTTAGTTGCGCATTTCGAAGAATTCAGCATATTGTCTATATACGTTTTACTTAGTAAACATTGGGCTTTCATACAGTAAAATAAAATACTGCGACTTTTTGCTATTTTGCAGATAAAATGAGAAAAACATTCTTGGTTTCCTCTAATTTGCCAATCAGTGCTATACTAATGCGAGGTGTAAACCGCGATGGCATTGTTGTGTACAAAGCGATCGCATTAGTGCCATTAGCAGTATAGCACAATTTGGCATTAGTAGCGACTTTAGTGGTATGGGCATTGCTCGCGGATCAGTCGTAGCATTAGTAGTAGTAGTTGCGATATTACTACTGGCACTGACCGTGGAAACACTGGAACAGTGATTTTTCTTTCTTTTTTTAGAATCGACGAATTATCCTTTATTTTGTTCATATTATTTCCTCTTTAATTGAAAATAGCAATAATTTATATAAGGTCTACATAAAAAAATTTCAATTAACTATCAGTGTCAAATATCCCACTGTGCGCCACTCTGTATAGGGCAAATCGAAAAATATCTGATTGAGAAACGGACTACTGTTATTTATTTACTTCAATAAGATGTTTAACCAATCCATGGCATTAATTATAATACTTAAAAATACTGTTTGATCGAAAAAAACCGCGTCAGCGCTTTTTCGATCACGGTATTTATTAATAACAATGTTAACAACTGTCATATAAAATTTTAAAAAGAAAAATAAGAACTCAATCTTGGAAACAATACAGTAATCGGTAGACACATTTTTAGACATTTTATTTTTATACATAGCTAACATAACTCAAAAAACAGATTACTTTTATATAATTTCTGAATTAGCTTTTCTCGTATTTATGACAAATATAATAGCTTTCGTTACTTTATTTCTTATTCCCTTTTACAAAACCCTTTTTGTAAGGCCATTTCGATACAAGTATTGTGATATATCGCTATCGTGCTTCATATAGCATTAAATGGCGAATTCTTTCCATTATAGTCGCAGATACACGAAAAAAAGACGCCATAAATAAATATTTGACGCACAAAATTCCACACTATACGTGTTCCCTTTCACGGAGTGCACGGTAGGACGTTAGCACGCGAGGTCGTTCTTCATTGAAATGTTATTTTTAATCAGATGTTTGTATTTCGATAGGCTGTTAAACAATTCGCTGTGGTGAGTTCATTACTGTTGTTTTATAACAAGTATTTGCGAAAACATCACTTCTACTCCTGATGCAGCTAGATTACACAAAGCTATGGCCAAGAGTGGATCTATCCCCATCATGGCACTTAAGAAATCTGACGGAAGCTACACGGAGGGAGAGAAAGAGAGAGCAAATCTCCTACTTTATACACACTTTCCAGGTAGCATACCTATTGATACTTATGTAGCTCCCACTGAACCTCACAATCCTTGTAGGGAAGATTGGGAAGTGGCAAGCTAGTAATAACAGAACAAAAGCTGAAATGGGCGATCGACACCTTTCAGCCCTATAAAGCAGCAGGAGTGGATGGGATCTTTCCTGCCCTTCTAAAGGAGGGTCAGCAAATAGCTACTCACCATCTACTAAGCATTACAAGAAGCAGTCTAGCGATGGGATATATACCAACCACATGGAGAAGAGCAAAAGTAATCTTCATACCCAAAATAGGCAAAACTGACTGGACAAATCCCAAGTCATTTAGGCCTATTTGTCTCACATCGTTCATACTAAAAACGCTGGAGAAAGTAGTTGACAACCATATTGGAGAAAATCATCTAAAGGTTAAACCACTGCATGATAGTCAGCATGCATATAGAACGGGCAGATCCACAGAAACTGCTCTGTACCAATTAACGGAGCTAATACAGACAAGTCTGGATAGCAAAGAAACAGCAATTTGTGCCTTCTTGGATATTGCGGGGGCGTTTGACAATATACCACATAAGGTGGTCAGGCGATCTCTAGAAACAAGAGGGGTGAACAGAACTATTATTCGCTGGTTTTGGGAAATGCTGTCAACACGAACAGCAGAGGCTCAGATGGGCACCAAAACTGTAGCTGTTAAAACAACGCAAGGAACTCCACAAGGTGGAGTAACCTCCCCTTTGCTGTGGAGCTTGGTGGTGGATGAACTACTAGATGAATTAACTCTAGCGGGAATACACTGCATTGGGTATGCAGATGACATAGT